CACTTCCCTCCCGGAGCCAGGGAGAGCAGCCAGGGGCCTGGCCCCCAACCGGAGGGGATAACTTGGCACAAAGATAAGGTGAGGTTGGTGAGCAGGGGAGAGCTTGGGGAGGGGAGAACAAGTGCATAACAGCTGATACCTCAGTTCTGAAAAGATTTCCCCCTCCCCGCCCACCTGCACTGTCCTCATGTCCATTGGGGGGGTCTCCCCCCCAGTCCATGGAGATCAAGTCCTCCTTTCACTCCCACCACAGCCAGTTGCTATTGCACAGTCATTAAGACAGGAGGTCTGATCCATTAAGACTCCATTGTCGCAGTCCGAAAAAAAGAGCAAAGATGGAGGCAGCCAACCCCAGATGCCTGGGTTTCCAGCCGGGCTGCCTTGGACTTTAGCTGGCCACTGGAGGGGTCCAGGAGGAATGTCACCCTCCAGGATGGGGTCAGCATGGGGGAGCTAAGTAGCAAGACCTCGCTTCTGTAAACTTTCCACCTCTTTGCTCTGCTTCAGCTCCTTCATCCTGGGGGTGGAGAAAGAGGGAGGAGGTGAGGGCCCCACTGACACCTCAATCCCACCCCACAAGGGTCCCTCTTTTTCCAGATCCCACCTCTGGGAGTACACCCTCCCTGAATCCCCCACTTACCGTCTTGCCCCACCCGACCATAGCCCCTCTAATGCACCACATTCCCACCCCAGTAAAACTGCCCCTATCCCAGCTTTCCCCCCCCCCCATTTCCCTGCTTAGGATCCCCCCATCCCAGTTCTTTGACACCATCTCGCTTCCTGCCCCACATACCTGTGTCGACAGCGGCGCAGAAACCGCATGATCTTACGGGCAGCCTGATCTTGCTTCTTCGTAAGGAATGTGCCCCTACGGGGAGAGAAGATAAGAAGTGAAGGTGCAGATGGCTGGTTACGCAGGAAGCCCTTGCCCAGCACAGAGAGGCAACCACCTGTGGGGTAGGATCTTTTCATAGCCAGGGATATGACAGCAGTGGGTGTCCTTCACTGGTTTCTCCTGGAAGACCAGGTCAGTCCAGAACAGGCGATTTAAGCATCCATGGTTGAGGAAGAGCTCAGATCCTACATGTGGGGTGTGGATGTCACCTTGCCCAGACCCAGAGGGCACTGGAGGCACAGCTTCCCCAGACTGGCTCCCTGCCCCATAAGCCTGTAAAGAGGCATGGCCCTGTAGATACTGAGCAATGAGTGGCCTGGAGCTAGGAGAGAACATGTCAGTGGAGAGCTGGGCTCCATACCAGGCACTGCAGCCTAAAGGAGGAAAGGGACAACAGACGAAGCGAACAAAACCCAGTCCTGGCTCCCAGCCCCCCTCCTCTGACCCACCAGCCCCCACACTCATCCCAGAGCCAGGCAGAGAACCCAGGAGTCCAGGCACCTACTTGATCTTCTGCTGCATGGTGGCGGAGGCTCGGTGGCCCTGTTTGAGCTTCTCATACTCTTTGTAGCTGCGGTAGTACTGCTGAATGAGAACTGCGGCCCGTCGGCTCTGCTGGAACTTCTTCTGCTCATAGTAACTACGGAATTTGCTCTGGATCAGGATTGCAGCTTGTGTCATCTTCTTATACAGGGCATACTGCAGGGGAACAGGGAGGTCAGACGGGGCAGTGTGACAGAACCTAGTCCCCCCCTCGATGCTGGGGAGAGAACCCAGGAGCCCCCCTGCTCTAACCCACCAGCCACTAGATCTACGGAGATACTCCAGTAGGAGTTCTGTGCCACTGCAGATATGCAGAATTCATGTGTTCCACAGAATTTTTTCCACCTCCCACAGATGTTTCTGACCCAAAGGTGCTGCAGTTCCACCTTTTGCCCACCTGAGGTCGCTGTGGCACCAGACTAAGGACAGGGACAGATGTGTCTGACTGAATGGGAGAGGCTCTGGGTCAGCATGGGGGAGGCACTCCCCCTCTCTCCCAAGATAAACCTCCTACAGGATCACAATAGGCTCCTTCCCTCTCCCAGCCTCACACAAGGAAGGAAACATGGTGCTGGGTTGCACCTTACGTGAATTACTCCATGGAATCTGTGTTCATCTACTTAGACAGGGATCCGTTTGTCAAAGCAAAACATCAGACTCGTTTTTGGTGTCTATGTTACAGACATGCTGACAGAACCCTAAGTGGCATCTGTGCTGTTTTGACAAATCAAATATGTCCAATTTTGCAGAATTTTAAGCATTCCCTCAGGAGTAGAGAGAGAACCCAGGAGTCCTGGCTCCCAGCCCTCCGTTCTGACCCAGAAACCCCCACTCCCCTCCCAGAGTTGGGGAAAAAAGCAGCAATTCATGCCCCCCACACACACAGACACACAGCCCCCAGTGTATCCCACCCTCCCCCACCCCCAGGTGCAGCCCTCTCCATGGCAGCCCCCACTTGTTACCTTCAATGCAATCCACGTGAGCTTGCGAGACAGAGAAGAGGTGAGTTAGTGGGGCAAGGGCATCTCCCAGGATGAGACCCAACAGACTCAGCTTACACCTACAGCTCTGTTGGGGGAGTAGGGAGGGAGCCTGGGTCTGGCTCCAGGAGTGATGCCAGCTGGCCCATGGCTCCTGGAGCAGTATCCCCAGCCAGCATCTCCCAAAAAGGCAGCACGAAGCACCCCCGATGGGCTTTACCTGCTTGTACTTGCGATAACATCGTTGGATCACGGCAGCTGCCGTCTCTTGCTGCTCCTTCAGCCGCCGGCCCTGGAGGGAGAGTGGAGGGTGTGAGGCACCCAGGGCTGGCAGGAGGGCTCCCTGTTGCCAGGCAGGGCATTGTGGGGAGGAGGTGGGGCGGAGGGGGAGGAGAGGAGATGCCTGTTACTATGGGGCTTCCAGTTGCCAGGGAACTGCAAGATCCTGGTTGCTGGGGGACACCATAGTGAGAGATCCTGGTTGCTGGTACAGCGCAGGATACCCACTGCCATTGGGATCCATTACCAGGGGCACAGCATGGCAAGGAAGGGGCCAGATGCTTGTGGCACTCGGGCTAAAGCAGGGGGCCTGTCAGGAGGGGCACCTTGTACTTGCGGAAGGCCGTCTGGATGATGCGAGCAGCCTCGTACAGCTCCCGCTGCTCGTGGTCGGACAGTGTCAGCAGCGCGAACTCGCTCTCCATCTTGCCATTGGCCGAGGCGTTGAGGAATTCGGCCCACCCAGCAGCCGTGGGGGGTGGGGGCAGGCGGTCAAAAGACAGCTCCCCTACTGAGGTCTGCAGGGGACTCAGGCACACTCGTGACGAGGGCACCGACCTGGAGGGCAGGGATAGACACAGACCCCAGTGACCTGGCACGTGGAGCCAGTCAGTCCTGCTCTGGGAGGGGATAGGAGCCAGTGCCCCCTGGAGGGCAGGCCCAGTACCTGTGCTGGGAGAAGCTGGGCAGCTGGTCAACGCTCTCCAGGTAACTGGTCAGCCAGGACATGGTCTCGCTCAGCCCCATGTTCCCACTTCGCTCCCGCAGCGGCACCTCAGCTGAAGAGCTGAAATCCTCCTGCTTAATGCGCTCTGGTGTTGCCTCGATGATCTGCCTTGCCAGTGTGATCATGTCCACCTGGGGGCAGAGACACCAGACATTTGGGTTCTCTCCTTGTCTCTGGGAGGGGAGGGGTGCTGGTGGGTCAGAGCAGGGGGGTTGAGAGCCAGGACCTTTGGGTTCTCTCCTCAGCTCCACTCCAGCTGGTGACTTGGGGGTCAATTTGCCTGAGTTTCCCTTCCTTTACTATGAGAACCCATGTTCCCCCCCATCACAAACCATTAGCCTGCTTAGCGCCTCCCCCCACCACCACTGCACCCAGCTCTCCCAATCTATTCCTCCCCCCCTCCTGCTACCTGCAGCACATCAGCAGTTGGCAGATAGTCCTCATTCTCCGTGTTCTCCGCATATGACAGCAGCTCTGGCTCGGAGGGCTCCTCATACTCCATGAAGAAGTGGGGCTCACCGGGGGAGCAGCGCAGGCCAGGTGGGCTGGGGGTCTCCTGCAGGTACCAGCTGGCTGGGCCCTCAGGGGCAGTGCCAAAGTCCATGGTGCCATCTGGCTCAGGACTGCCGGCGGGTGAGTCACGAAGAGCAGAAGCGCTGGAGTAGGCTGAGGTGACAGAGACGGAGCCGTCCGACAGCTCTGAGGGTGAGGAGACACTGCTCACTGTGCTCAGCCCTGGGACAAGGGATGAGGGGGGTCAGCAAGGGAAGGGAGAGCCCTGGAGAGCACTACCCACCCAGAGACACCCGACTCGCACACTCGGCGGGCACCATACCAGTGTCGGGGCTGGCAGAGAGTGGAGAGGGGATGCGCAAGGCCTCAGCTGGGTGCTGCTGCCCCCAGCCCTTGTCCACGACACCCTCGGAACTTGGCTCCTGGCGCTGCAGGTCCTCCAGGCGAGCAGCCAGCGCCACATGGCCCCGGGAGCGAGCCACAGTCAGAGGTAGCCGGCCCAGTGAGTCGGGGATGGAGAGTGCTTGGCCGTTCCAGCGGTACAGCAGAAGGGCTGCGTCGATGTGGCCCAGGGCGCACGCCCACATCTGGAGGGTAGAAAGCAAGGAGTTAGAGGGCACTGTGGGACATGGAGCAGGAGTTCAACAGGGGGCGCTCCCCCCTGGTAGGCAGGGCTGGCCCCAGGGCTGTGCTAGGGGTTGGTGCAGGGTGGGGGCTCAGTAGGGGGCGCTCTCCCACATAAGCAGGGCTGGCCCCACGGCACCATCAGGGGGTGCTGCAGGACAGGGAGCTGGGTGGGGGCACTCTCCCACATGGGTGTATCTACAAGTCCCTCCCCTTGGTGCATACTCTTCCAGGGTGAGGTCCCCGACTTACCAGCGGGGTGCAGGAAAAGTGGTCAACATTCAGAGGATCTACTTCCTGCTCCAAGTCCAAGCTGTCAGCACTGAGGTTCCTGCAGGAAAATCAGGTGAGCAGGGTCCCTGACTCAAGTGGAGAATGGGCGATCCCCCACCCCCAAAGACCCCACCCGAGCTGCACGGATAAGGGTTCCCCCCTTATTCCTGCAGCACAGGCTGCCCTGCAGCAGCCTGGGGAACTTACCTCCACTTCATGAGAGTCTCAATGAGGCGGGCATAGCCCTGGGCAGCTGCCAGGTGCAGCAGAGTCATGCCCCGGAAGCTGATGTCATGGACCAGGGTGTCAGAGTGAAGCCAGGAGGAGCGAGACATCATCTTCTCGCACAGGGCCACGATCCGGTCCTCGAAGGAGTCAGAAGTGGCCTGTGGGAAGAGGTCCCTAGTTAACTGTCTGCTCCACCCCAGAGGTGGCTGCATCTCGGTGCTGGGAGCTGGTTAGCCTGGTACTAGGCACCCCTGTATCTCTGGAGGGGACAGAGGAACCTACAACGACCCAGCAGATCCCCGAGATGGGAGGCGAGACAGAAAGGGGGCTCAGTGTCTGGCCTCACCTGGCCATGAGAGGCTTGTATAAAGCCCCACAAAGGGAACCCCGGGATCTCACCCCCCATGACTTAACACAGCCCACCAGATTGCAGCCAATCTCTAGGTCTTGATTTTCCCCTTGCTCAGGCTGGAAAGAATGCCTGTCCTGTCCTGGCTGGGCAGGCTGGAAAATGCCTCTGTAATCCCCCCCACCCCAGCAAGGAGCAGCCGCCGGGCACCCTGCCGAGCCTGCCGCCACGTGGCTAAAATTAACCCCCCTCAGGGTCCGAAATAGCAGCACAGATAAAGGCTTATGGGGGGGTATGACGTCAAGCCAGGCACAGCATGGGGAGATGGAAGGAGCAGTGGGACCTCGCTCCCAGTCACCCTGCTCTGACCCACCAGTCCTTACTCCCCTCCCTGAGCCAGGCAGAGAACCCAGGACCCTGGCTCCCAGCTCCCCTCCTTTGACTCACCAGTCCCCACTCCCCTCCCAGAGCCAGGGAGAGAACCAGGTGTTCGGACTCCCATGCCTGGGCACACCCAGGGGCTTGTACAGTAACTGACCCGAGTTGTACTGGAACCCCCCCCCCCCCCTTCATTAAACTCAGCCACAGTAATAACAAACAGTGAGCGGAACTGGCCTGACTACAAGAAGCCAGCCGGCCAAACACTTCTGACACACTAGACCATCAACCCAGCACTAGCGGCTCTTCCCTTGAGAATCCTGCCTGGGGGCTCACCTGGGTGTGGGGGGACTCCCCGGCAGCCCCCCGCTGTTGCTGGGAGGACGCTGCTTCATTAAACTCAGCCACAGTAATAACAAACAGTGAGCGGAACTGGCCTGACTACAAGAAGCCAGCCGGCCAAACACTTCTGACACACTAGACCATCAACCCAGCACTAGCGGCTCTTCCCTTGAGAATCCTGCCTGGGGGCTCACCTGGGTGTGGGGGGACTCCCCGGCAGCCCCCCGCTGTTGCTGGGAGGACGCTGCCATCTCTGCCATGCGCTTCTCCATCTGCTCCAGGCGCTCCAAGATCGACATCCTGAACTGGTTATCTGGGGACATGGTGTGTGTGTGTGTGAGGGGGGGTGCACAGCAATACATCCCCCCACCCCTGAAACTCAGGAGTCCTGGCTCCCACCTCCCTTACTCTGATCCACCAGCCCCCACGCCCCTCCCAACAGTGAGGTGAAAACCCAGGAGTTCTGGATCCCAGCGTCCCACTGCTCCAACCCACCAGTCCCCACAGCTCTCCCAGAGCCGGGTCGGGAACCTAAGTGTCCAGGCAACAAAAACCTGCTGAGCCCGCCCCATCTCTCCTGCTGGGATTAGCCTGGTTAATTTCCGGGGACAGTGGAGTGGGGCCAGGCGGCTAATCTGCATATCATAGGGATTAGCCAGACAGGAAATACCCCCAAGGTTGGGTGTAGCGCCCCCTCCCACTCCTGTACTGACACCAGGCAGGGAAAGCTGAGCCCCTCATCCCATTTGAAAGTGGAGCTATGGGGAGACAGTGCTGGGCTGGTGGAGGCAAGTGGGGGAGTAGTGGAGGGGGGTCCTGCTGAGGTTCTAGTGTGGCCCCGCACTCCACAAGACACCATGGGACCCCACAATACACCCCCACCCATTGACCCCACAATACACCCCCACCCCTCCCCCAATTCCCTCTCTCAATACACCCCTGCCCTTCCCCTATACACTCTTACAATAGACCCCCACCCTTCCTCCCACAATACACCATCAGTGCACCCCCATTCTTCACTCCCCATAATACCCACATCAAACTGCCATTGCATCCCTATTGTCACACAAAAAAACCCCCTTCCATCCACTGCCACGCCCCTCAAATACACCCCATTCACCCACCCTGCTCTCCCCAACCCAGCCTGGTACACCCCATCCACCTCCCCCCAGACAGCACACTGGGGTACCCCACCTGGCACACCCCAGCCACCTCCCCCCAGACAGCACACTGGGGTACCCCGCCTGGCACACCCCAGCCACCTCCCCCCAGACAGCACACTGGAGTACCCCAGCCACCTCCCCCCAGACAGTGTAGTGGGGTACTCCAGGCATGATTCACTGGCTCCCGGGTGGGACCTCCTGACCCCCCAACCTTGCTACCTTCCTTGTCCATGGCTCTGTCCTTCCCGCGGGCGTGTTCAAATGACTCCCAGCAGGAGCTGGAATTTCCTGGCAGGGATGGGGGGCTGGCTCCCCCCACTCACATATGCACGAGCAAGGAGCAGGGTGGAATTACCAGCCAGAAGTCCTGGGGCCCCACAAGGTGGCAAAAAAAAAACTGCTCCTCCCAAACTCCCCTGAGGTCCGGTGACATCTCAAGAAGAGGGCAGCGGGGGGAGAAGGGAGGAGATCCCCAGGCCAAGCCCCTAGGGCGTCAGTCTGTCTCCAGCCTGCAGTGCGGTTTCTCTGCACTGTGACAGGGCCTCCCACTGCCCTGGCTCTCAATGGGACAGAAATAGCCATGGGGAGGAGGGGCTGCCCCCCCCCAAGCTCCTTGGGGAAAGCCCAGATGACTGTTAACCCCTTCCTGCTGGGGTGGGGTGTAAGGAGAGGTGACGGTGCGGGAAGGAGGGTGATACTGTGCAATGTGCAGCTGTCTGCAGGGGTGTCTGGGGATAGGTGGTGTGATTGTGCAGTGCTAGTATGCATGATTGTCTTGTGTGCCTGTGTGCAGGGGCAGAGTGCAACTGCATCTGTGGGGGAGGGCGGTGTGACTGAGGTGTGTGTTGATGTCTGGGGATAGAATGTGTGATTGTGCAATGTGCAACTGTGTGTGGGAGTAAGGTGTGCAACTGCATCTGGGGGCATCCGCGTGGTGTGTGACTGTATGCAGGGGTGTCCAGGGCCAAGGTGTATGACTGTGCAGTGTGCAACGGTGGGCAGGACTGTCTGGGGAGTAACATGCAATTGTGCAGAACATGACTGAGGCTAGTGTGACACTGTTGGGCAGGGTGTCTGGGGGTAAGGTATGTGATTGTACGACTGTGCGCGTGGAGGTCAGGCATAGGATTGGGCACATGGGCCTGTGTGTGTGGACAGGGATTACTACAGGCATGCGTGCAGGGAATGCGAGGCTGCATCTGTGTGGACACGTGGGCAAGCGTCTGGGGGATACAACTGGGAGGGCACAAGGGAGTTCAGCACTGTTAGGGGGATGGGCTGGGAGCCAGGACTCCTGGGTTCTCTCCCCAGCTCTGGGAGGGACCTGGAGTCTTGGGACTTACAGCAGGGTGGGCTGAGAGCCAGCACTGAACTATGACTCCCTTTCTGGGGTGGAACATGGCCCCTATTTAACAATCCAGCCCAGACACCGGGGTTCACACCTCAGCAGGATGGGACCACACCCTGGAAAGTGGCCTGAGACCCCTGCACTTCCGCCCCCTTGCCCGGCTGCGTCACTGGCAGCCATGACGCCAAGCAGCAGTGAAACAAACCCAGGCAGCTGGGGAAGGTGTCCCCTTACAGCCAGCCAAGGTATTCTGAGGCCGGTGACTCATGGCCATGGAAACCGGGCACCCGGCCCAACCCCACTGGAAATTCCACCCCCACAGGCATGGGCTACTGTGGGTGTGCACCTGATGACAGCCAAGAACTACCCGGCCTGCCATGCAGCAGCATCAAGGGATTTGTCCGCTGGCCAGGAGGGGTCAGAGCTGGAGGCCTGGAAGCCAGAACTCAGGAGTCCTGAGACCCAGCTCTGGGAGGGGAGTGGGGGCTGGTGGGTGAGAGCAGGAGCCCATTCACACTCTGGTTGAGCCCAAACTGAGCAGCCTCCTGTAACTTTTGCTGCCCCTTGGTGGTTGCAGTTGGAGACCAGCTATCTGGGCATTTGTGGGGGCACAGAGGTCTCCCAGCCACGCCCGTTTCCCGTGACCCAGACAAGCACAGGGAGGACAGGATGCCAGCACCAGGCCTCTTCTCCTTTGTCCCAAGGGGACAGAACTTTCATCCCAGAAGGGGAGGCATCCCCCCCTCCCAGTTATTACTCAACCACACATTCTACACCTGGCTCAAGCCAGACCCATGGCCCAGAACCCACCTGCCACCTCTTTGAGCTCCCTCCCCAGTGCATTCCCAAAGCTTCCCAGGACAGAACAGGAACCCCAAGAGCACTGTACAGCAGGAGGCACCATGTTCTGGGGTCTGTCACCTCACTGCTAAAAATATATCTGGGCACCCTGCTGAAATCGCAGAGGCAGTTTCACTTGCATGGAACGTTTGCCTTTATTTCCTGTCCTAAAGTCTGGTGCACCGTTGCTATGAGACACCTGTCATGCCACATCCCAGAGGTGGCTGTATCTCAGTGCCAGGGGAGGGGTCCCTGTGTAACCAGCCACCCTGCCCCAGAAGTGGCTGCATCTCAGCGCTGGGTGAGGGGTGCCTGTAAACTGGCCGCCCCACCCCAAAGGTGTCTGCATTGGAGCGGACTACCCTCAGTTTTGGAGGCGGGGTGGAGAATTCTGTCTAGTTTGATTACATCTGGCCTAGCTGATGTATATGGCTACCCACCACTGCCACAGGTTCACACATTCCCAGGACCCCATGTTCGTGCTCTGCTCCCTTCCCAGCCCTACATGCCCAAAACACACACTGGGGCTATGCTGCCACCTGCTGGCTCTGTCTGGAATAGCTGTGTTTTGGTTGGCTGGGGGGGGGTGGAGTATGAGGACCCCCCTGATTCTCCAATCACTTCCTGCTCCCCCCCTTCCGGGGGGAGATGCTAAGACCAGGGAGAACATAGGGAAAGGCAAGTTTCATGAGGATGAGGAAAGGATCCAGGTCTCCTGGCTTCCAGCCCTGCTCCCTCCCTACAACCATCTGAAAACGGCGAGGGGAGGGAAGAGACCAATCTCTATCCCTGTTTGCAATGACTTATGAGGTGCCCCAAGCCCCTCTGAATTTCTCCTGCTCCCTTATTAGTTCCCACAGTCACATGAAAAGCCTCCCCCTCACTTGCTCCCTGCCCCTCATCTTCCCCCAGCCCCCATCCCACTCACCATCCAGGGAGAGCCAGTCCAGCTGGGTGCTGGGCAGCGCCAGAAACCCACGGCCCCGGTACTCGAACAGCACTGAGGTGGAGACCAGCCGGGAGCCATGGGCCACTTGCAAGGCCACCAGCCCCTCCTCATGGCCTATGGGAGGAGGGGCAGTGAGAGGGGACAACATAGACCAGGCCTGTCCTCCTGAACCAACCAGTCTCCACCCTGGGGCTTGATGGGATCTGGCGCCCCCTAGAGGGAGCAGGTCCCATGCCCCATTTCCTGGCCCCAGAGCCAGCCAGTCCCTGCCCTAGGGATGGGTAGGAGCCTGCGCTCCCAAGAAGGGGGAGGCCCTGTGGCCCGTACCGGGGCAGTAGCAGCGTAGGACACCCGACTGAATGAGCGCTGCAGGCACGACCACTCGGTCGAAGAGGCAGGTGTAGGAGTCTGTCTCATCCATCCACGGCCCCGTGATCAGCACCTTGACACCGCCCTACAGGGGTGGGAAAGAGCCATATTAATGACCTGCAGGGGGTCCCCTTTATCTCTTGCTCCCCTTGCCCCCCGACACTCCTACCACCTGACTCACCTCTGGGTAAGACCAATCCGGCGAGAAATCAGTGATGTTCACTAGCTCCTCAGGCTGGGGGCCTGGAGTCACCTCACCCCCTGGAGGAGCAGCCTCACCAGGGGTGTCAGGCAGAGCTGGGCGTGGGGGGCTGCTCCCTCCCCCAGCCCCAGCCTCCTCCGTCATGAGTTCCGAGATGAAGCTGTCCAAGGAGAGGCCGAAGGGCAGGTCCGGCCCCCTGGCCCCTGCCGTCTGTATGATGGAGTACAGCTCCTCCTGCAGCTGCTCCGTCGCTGCCCCACCACCTGGCCGGGACGCCCCCGTCTCCATGGGTGTCTCCCCTTTCTCCCGGGAGGAGGGCTGGGTGCCCCGCCCTGGCGCCCCCCCGTCGTCCTGGATGAAGAAGCAGTTGCCAGCAGTGGGGGGCGCATAGGCCGGGGTGGGTGGCTCTGGTGCCCCCCACCCATAGGTTTGGCCCCGGGCGGGGCTGTTGAGGAAGCAGTCGGGGTCGAAGGCGCTGGAGCCGGCCTCCCCTGTCTCCATGCTGGCCTCCAGGTTCTGAGACAGGGCCAGGCCGGGACCTGGCAGCAGGGCCAGGCTAACAGGGCCGGCGGGTGCTGGAGGATCACTCGCCACCAGGTGCTGGCTGGGTGTGAGGCCTAGCGGCTTCTCTGGGGCCCCGGCCAGGCCAGTCATGACTAGGACGGCACTGCCCGGAAGCCCCACTGACAGTGCCACAGCAGCTGGTGGCCGCTCACCTCGGTAGGAGCTGCTGGGTGGACCTACGCCAGATGAAGGCCGAGGGGCATCTGGGGAGGAGGAAGAGGAGGGCTCGGTGGGCGCTGGGGGTTCTTTTCTGTCAGGCTTGGCCAGCTCTGGCTCCGGCTTGGGCTCAGGCACACGCTGTGGCTCGGGGAGTGCCGGGACTGGGCAGAGCCGCGCCTCCACCTTCGGGGAAATGATGCGGTGCTTGGTGCTGCTGCATTTGTGCGGGACATGGCCTGGGCTGCCTGTGGGATGGACAGACAGATGCAGCTGTGTGGGGGCAGGCTGAGAGTGGGGCCATCGGGGGGCTCTGTGGGGATGCGCCAGCAGGGTCACAGCAGACAAACACACAGATAGCAGCGTGTGGGGAAGGGCAGATGGACAAACAGGGATGTGGGGAGGGCAGGGTCAAGTCAGAGGGAGACAGCTGTGGAGGGACAGACAGTGGGATGGACATTAGGGTACCCCCACGGTGCCCCCAGGCTGATGGGATCCCAGGAGACCAGCCCTGGATGTGGAAGAGGAGGGACTGGGCACAGCAGTCAGCCAGGGATGGGGAGGCTGGCTCTGGGCTGTGGGTACGTGACAGCACAGGCACTGCTGGCCACTGTACCTCACATTGGCCACTAGGGGGTGCCAGCAGAACCCTGAGCCACCAAAGGCAGAGACGAGCTCCCTGCTGAGGAGGGGGAAAGTTGGGAGCCAGGACACCTGGGTTCTCCATGAGCTCTGGGAGGGGAGCGGGGGCTGGTGGGTTACAGCAGAGGGGGCTGGGAGCCAGGACACCTGGGTTCTCCATGAGCTCTGGGAGGGGAGCGGGGGCTGGTGGGTTACAGCAGAGGGGGCTGGGAGCCAGGACACCTGGGTTCTCCATGAGCTCTGGGAGGGGAGCGGGGGCTGGTGGGTTACAGCAGAGGGGGCTGGGAGCCAGGACACCTGGGTTCTCCATGAGCTCTGGGAGGGGAGCGGGGGCTGGTGGGTTACAGCAGAGGGGGCTGGGAGCCAGGACACCTGGGTTCTCCCCCCCACCTCTGGGAGGGAAGTGGGGACTGGTGGGTCCTGGTGGGGGAGGCTCAATGGAGAACTCTGTGGTCCCGTTGCCGTTGCTGCAGCTCCACTTTATCCCGTGAACTGCAGGAGAAGGGGACAGAGACATGGAGCAGAGAGCAACCAGGCTGCTCCCCCCCCCCCCCCCCCGATCCTCTGTCCCATCCCTGCCCCTCACAGGCTTCATCCCTTCTGCACAGCACCCTCACCGGGGCCCTTATTCACCCTCAACACCCAAGGCCCCGCAGCTGGCACCCTCTCCTTACACATGGGTTTGAGCTGGCTCACCAGCTCCTCCTTCGACCACTTCAGCCACTCCTTGCGGTCGCTGCTGATGGAGCAGAGGATGGGCCCGCAGAGCTTGGCGCAGTCCTCCAGCGCCGGCACGTTCAGGTAGTGCACCAGCACAATGTCAGGATTCTGCAGGGGCAGGTGCAGGGTCAGGGTCAGGATTCCAGGTTCCCTCCTCTGCTCTGGGAAGGCAGGGGGGCTGGGAGCTCTGAAACGCTGTGGGATCCTTGTTCAGAGCCCTCAGAGATTTCTTTGTGGTGTTTTAATGCAGACCCTGCTGCCCGACTCCCCGTACCTGCAGTAGCCAGTAGCACCGTCGGTGGAATGTGGGGACAATAGAGGAGTGGACGTAGCAGCCATACAGACACTGTGGGGAGACAGGGGGAGAGTAGGGCACTTCTCAGCACTCGGGGGGAGGCAGTCTAGGTCACTCCCCACCCATAGGGAGGCATGGTCACACTGGTGCCTATGGCCCATGCCCAAAGGGAAGCCAGACCCTTGCTTGCGTAACCCATCCCCTCTCTGGAGGGTGCCCAATCCCCACCATGCTCCTCCCACATCCCTGGGCTCAGCTTCTAAGGACACCATCCTTCCTGGCTCCAAGTTGCCCCACAGCCCCCTGTAAGGGAGACCCAGCCCAAGCTCCTCTCTCCCACAGTACCACCAGCCCCACATCCAGTATTCAGGGCCCACCCCAAGCCTACCTCCATGCCTTGCACCTTGAGTTTCATGTGGTCCTCCCGCGTGGTCTTGCCGTCCTTGCGTTTCTTCCAGCAGTAGCCATCCTTGCGGTACTTCACCTTTTTCCGGTTGTATAGGATGATGGAGCCGTTCTGGGGGCTGATGCCGGAGAAGAGGAGGAGTCACTGCGGGGCTGAGCTGAGCTCCCACCAAATGTCTCCCAGAGATCGGCTCCCCCAGTGTACCCCAGCTTCTCCCTGCCACCCCGGGCATCCCTACCTGCTGCTCTCTGGTCCTCCCTGCCACCTCCCACCTCTTTCCCAGCCCCCCTTTATAACTGCAAACCCGGCCTCCCATACCCCCACTCCCTGTGGGATGCTCACCGGGTCTTGGGAGAGCAGGAGAGCCATTCCTCATGCTTCTCAAAAGTGATCAGATAGGAGGCAATTTCCTAAGAGAGACCAGAATGCCCAGCTCAGGGTGGGAGGCGCCCCCCACGAATTCCCCCTTTGATGTGCCCCATCACTCAGGGTCCAAGTGCCTGACAATGGGGCAAATTGGGGATAACACCACAGGCTCAACAGAGGGACCAGGCCCCAGCCCCACTCCCTGCCCCCGAGCCAACCAGTCCCTGCCCTGAGGACTGGTGGGAGCAGAGGGGACAGGGCCCCTGCCCCATTTCCCACCTCATTGGTATTCCAGCGCAGTCGCTCCTTGGGGAGGGCAGGGCATTTGGGCAAACACTCCACCAGCTTCTTGGGCAGGAATACTTTCAAGTGGTGGCTCTTCTCTGGAGAGACAAGGGGACACAAATTTCAGCATTGCAGACTGCCAGGAGCCAGGACACCTGGGTTCCCTCCACAGCTCTGGGAGGGGAGTGGGGGCTGGTGGGTTAGAGCAGGGGGCCTGGGAGCCAGGACTCCTGGGTTCTCGCTAGGTGAACCCCACCACCTGTGGCCAGGACCAGAGCAGCCTTCTTCTAGCTGCAGCAGGGCCAGAGCCAAAGCACACGGTGGGTCTGGAACAGCACCTCTCCCCCTCATCTGCATCCACAGCAGGGCTGGGGCCAGAGCAGCCCCCCACAGTCTGTCATGCCACAGCTGGGGGGCTGCCCCAGGGTTAACCAATGAAACCTAACATACAACCAGTTAACATTTGAAATGTTAATTAACATCCCTAGTTTTCTCCCCGACTCTGCGAGGGGAGCGGGGCCTGGTGGGATAGAGCATGGCTGGCTGGGAGCCAGGACTCCTGGGTTCTCTGGCTTGTAAGTTGAGCTCGGGGGGGCCTCATCACCATTCTAACTCACCAGAGACCTCTGTGGTTTCCTTGTTATTCATCATCAGGGCCTGGTGCAGGGGGATTAGAGCTCTTGGCATGTGGGGCTCAAATCATGGTGCGCAGGGAAAGGACTCAGACCTGGGGAGGGAAGAGAAGCAGGACTATGCGTCACACACAGCCAGGGATCAACCCATTCAGCCAGGACACCTATGCCCAAGTCCCGGACCCTCCAGCCTGGTCTTCACTGCCCCCCAGTGCAGCAGATCAAAGTCCTCAGCCTCTCTCCAACTATGCCTAGGATTTGTTTCTCCAGTTACTGCCACATGAAATGCAGCCACCTCCAGGGTCAGGGTAGGAGCTGCTTATCCAGAGACTCCTGGTCCACTGCAACATTGCAGCCACCTCTGGGGAGAGGCAGCTGCTTACACAGGGTCCCCATGCCTGGTGCTGAGAAGCAGCCACCTCTGGGGTGGGGCTGCCAGTTATACAGGGACACCTCATAGAAATGCTAGGGCTGGAAGAGACCTCAGGAGGTCATCGGTCCAGCCCCCTGCCTAAAGCAGGACCAACCCAAACTAAATCATCCCAGCCAGGGCTTTGTCAAGCCAGGACTTAAACACCTCTAGGGATAGAGATTCCACCCCCTCCCTAGGGACCCATCCCAGTGCTTCTCCACCAACCTAGACTTCCCCCATTGCAACTTGAGACCATTGCTCCTCATTCTGTCACCTGCAACTGCGAACAGCCTCTCTCCATCCACTTTGGAACCCCCCTGCAGGAAGTTGAAGATTGTTGTCAAATCCCCCCTCACTCTTCTCTTCTGCAGACTAAATAAGCCCAATTCCCTCAGCCTCTCCTTGTGAGTCATGGCTCCAGCCCCCTCATCATTCTGGTTGCTCTCCACTGGACCCTCTCCAATGTGTCCACATCCTTTCTGTAGTGGGGGGCCCAGAACTGGATGCAGTACTCTTGCTGTGGCCTCACCAGTGCTGACAATTGCCACTGATGGAAGCCAGCATGCAGTAGTTAGTGGGTGCCTCTCTAGCACACGGCACATTCCTCACAAGCGCCCACAGCCCCGAAAGTAGGGATGTGAACGATTGACCGGTAAGCCTCATCCTTAATGGGGCTGCTCCAGCCCTGCGGGACCACTGTGGTTGGGGGCTATTTCGGAGAGCCCGGATGCTTCACAGGAGCAGCTTCTGTCTGTGGCAGGAGGGGCCACAGGCTAGGTTGGGCTGGAGCAACCCCTGCTTGCAAATGACATGGGGGGGCCCCACTCCAGCGCAGTCGGGATGCAGTTAACTAACTAAATGGGATTTTTCATCCCTTCCCAAATGTGGACCCCCTCTTGTCTGGGCTAAGTTTAGCTTCACCCACTTTGGAAGGAAGAGTTACTGGGGAAACACCCCCAATGCTGCAGGGCATGAGCAGGCAATGTGAGACCCTAGAAAAATAAACCCACCCTACATCATTGCTCCTCACAAGCAGCCCGGGGACAAAGGAAACACTCCTGGGGTTAGAGTGGAGAAAGCTTGGGAGCCAAGACTCCCGAGTTCTCTCCTGGGGTCTGGGAGGAGAGTGGAGGCTACTGGGTTAGAGTGGGGGTGGAGGAGAAAGAGCCAGGACTCCTGGGTTTTATCCCGGGCTCAGACCCAGCCCTGCGCTTTGGAAGGAGCTTTCAGATCCCAGCAGGAGGGAGGTTTATAGTGGTAGATTTCCCTGTAGCTGCCCTTTTAATAAGGCAGCAGCCAGAAGGGCAGCAGCCAGGGCCAGTGACTTTGCAGCTCAGTCCCGACAGGGCCCAAGTGCAAGGAGGTTTCTCCCCAGTTTTTCCCAGAGAGCCAGGTCAAGGGGAAGTGCAGCCAGCGAGAGGGGAAGCGACTCAGGAGCTGGGTGAATCAGGGAACCCAGGGCAGCGACACACAGCACATGGGGAAGAGGAAAGCCAGCCCCAATGCCCACCCCAGAGCTAAGGAAAGAATCCAGACCCCCTTCCTGCCCCCGGCTCCAACCACCTGACCACCCCTCTTCACTCTTAAAGCTCAGCTGCGCTGGTCCCTGTGTAACCAGCCACCCTGGCCCTGAGGTGGTTGCAGCAGTGACATGTGCAGCGCAGAGAATAACCCAGCCTGCGCCCAGGCCCAGACCCCTTCACCCGGGGTCTTTGCAGCACCTGGCACAAGGGGAAGGGGCAATCTCAGATGTAGCCAGCGCAGATCCAGGCCAACCATTCAGGCACCCAGTCTAGGTGCTGGGGAGGGGGCCACAGGGGGTGTCAGTACATCCTCAGGATCAGGGCAGGGAGTCACAGGGCCAGTCACACTGCCAGTGTCCACCAGCCCCTTCCTGCGCCCCAACCTCCCACATTACCAGCATACTCCCAACCTGGCACCTGTTCCTTATCCCCCCAACAACCCATCCCTGTGTCCACCAGCTCTATGCCCCACCAATGCATTCCCCAACCCAACACCCATTCTTACACAGACCCCCACCAGCCCCTCACTGCCCACAGCTCACAGTGCACTCCCAACCTGGCACCTGCTCCCTGTTCCCCACTACCCCATCCCTGTGCCAGACACACACCCCAGCACTCACTCCTTGGCCCCTGCCCCATGCAAACCCTCACCCCAAATCCAGCCCCAACCCAACACCCACTCCCCAGCTCCAGCAATATGCAGAC